GAGTCAATTTCAGCGGCAGATTTAGGAAGCCTTGATTCTAGAAAAAGAATCCACGGTAAATGAATAGGCTGACGTCACCACAATGGTTTAATATGTATATATGCAACCCGACTTTAAATAAGATTACTTTTACTTTACTTTGCTTTACTTGCTTTGACTTATTGACCAGGGCTGATATGCATAAAACTACTTAAGTTTAGATTTATCCCGAACGAACGGATTTGGGTTTTTTTGGCATGTCATAAGATAAATTATTACTACGATTGGATATGTTAACTTGAGAGGTTTTATACATATCAGCCCAAAACTTTTAAAATCACAGACCTAGATTTGAATGTTTACAACGGATGCCTAATGAACGTTAGGGAAAACCATTTAACTCCAAAAAGGGGGGGGGGGGGGGTATGTTTTTTTTTTCTAAAAAAAAAAATATTCTGGTCCCCAATTTGATGAAAAAAATACTTTGGTCTAGCAGATGGCAAAGAAAATATTCTAAATCTAGATTTCCCCAATACCTTATGGTGTAATATATTAGAAAAAAACAATTTGATTGATAGCGTCGAAAATCTAGAAAAAACTGTTAACACAGAGATATGTCTCGCCTATTTGTTATTTTGATAATGCATATGTTGAAATTAAAATAGCAATACTTTAACATGTAAGTTATGCAAATATTTAAAGTCAATGAACCATGACTGAAGGTACAGGGCTAAACAATATCCATGGAAATCAGATGTGCCAATGCTAATACAACTGCATACCAAATACCATTGACTTTTCATGTGTCGTTCTCTTTAAACAAACCTAAACACAAACATTAACTTGTAAACTATGCAAAAGTTTCAAAGTAAATAAACCATAATGATGGGGTGGGGTTATATAATCTCAGTGGAAATGAAACTTGCAAATACCAATACCTTTGCATACCAAATATCATTGACTTAATATTAATGGTTCATCTTAAACTGACCTAATCACAAACTAATACATGTAAACTAAGCAAAAGTTTCAAAGTCAATAGACCGTGACTGAGGGGTAAGGACCAAATATACTCCATGGAAATGAAATCTGCTAATGATTATACAACTGCATACCAATTATCATTGACCTACCACTAACAGTTCCCCTTAAACTGATCTAATCACAAACTAATACATGAAAACTAAGCAAAAATTTAAAAGTCAATAGACCATGACAGAGGGGGTGTGGCCAAATAATCTTCATGGAAATGAGATATGCCAATGCTTATACAACTGCATACCAAATATCATTGACCTACCACTAGTGGTTAACCAGAAACTGACCTAATCATAAACTAATACATGAAAACTAAGCAAAAATGACAAAGTCAATAGACTATGACAGAGGGGGTGTGGCCAAATAATCTTCATGGAAATGAGATATGCCAATGCTTATACAACTGCATACCAAATATCATTGACCTACCACTAGTGGTTCCGCAGAAACTGACCTAATCACAAACTAATACATGTAAACTGGGCAAAGTTTCAAAGTCAATAAACCATGACTGAGGGGGCGGGGCCAATAATCTTCATGGTAATGAGATGTGCCAATGCTTATACATCTGCATACCAAATATCATTGACCTACCACTAGTGGTTCACCATAAACTAGACCTAATCACAAACTAATACATTGGTGACGCCGCCACCGACGCCGGAAACAGCATACCTATGTCTCGCATTTTGACTCCGTCAAGGCGAGACAATAAAAATGTTCTGACTCAGTAATTTCATTTACAGTTTCAGGAGCCAAAGGTGTATACAAAATTTTGAGAAAATTTGACAAATTTGTAGCTTTTGAATCATATCACATCTCCATCTTTTATATCTATTTTTTTTTTTAATTAATAAGAACTTTCTCGTTTTCGAATTTTTAAGCTATTTGATTCGACCGTGGCTTGCTAATATTATTGTTTAAAAATTAACATGTGAATATGGAAAGGGTCGGATTTCATGTCGGACCCTTTTATAATCAACTATACGGTATAGGTTCTTCTCATTGTTAAAGGTCTAACAGTTACCCATAATTTGCTTACATTCACTTCATTACATTTCTGGAAGATAGTTGTCTCATTGGCAATCATACCACATTTCCTTATTTTTTATACGGAACGGTGTTAGAATAACAAGTTGAATAGGGTAAATCTTTTTTCGTGTTAAATACAATCATGCATTTCCTTTTGGGCTCGGTTAATGTTACCAATACATTAATCTTGGTTAGAAGTAGTAAAGAATTTATAAGAAGTAGCTAGTGGATTCGGAAACGATAATCGAACAATCAAAATCTAATGTTTTGTTTTTTCAGTTATTTGTGGTACTTTGTTAAGTTTTTCTCATACTATATTTTCATATTTCTTTGTAATTGTTAAGTTAAAAGAAGAAAAAATACACGTTAAAAATTCAGTTTTAAACGGACTTTGTTTTAGCAAACTTATCAACCCGAACTTTTCATAACAGTCATGCAACTAGAAACTTATCGAGAGTTCTTTCTGTAACTTTTTTCATCCATTTTCCTTCATTTGTAGACATAAGTATCTTGATAATTTCCCTCAAAAAATGAATGCCAAACATATTTATTTCACTTACTCTGGACTCGTTTTCTCAAAAAAATTCAATCCTAATCAGGTTTAGTACTGAACGGGGTCTATCAAGCGTAATCTTGTAATTCTTTGTATAAAGGCAAAAAAAGGGGGGTGGTATTTAAAAATAATGTATATAACACAATAATATTTCGAATAAATATAATACTGACCTCCTAACAGAAAGTTCCTCTATTTTGTTGTCGGACACAATCTTGCTTAACCTTGCTGGTCCTGGCTTACAGCGTAAGTCAGAGTCTACACGATCTACTAAAGTACACATTAATTCTTCATCTGACGCAGACGACATATCTTCATAAATCGGCTTTTTGGGAAGAGTAGCTTCATTTTCAGAAGCAGATGATATATCCTCATACATAAGAAGAAAATTTCCACTTATATCCTCATCACTTTTCGTAGAATTATCACAAAACTTTGACTGAGTTATAAATATATCCTCATCGTCCGATTCCATTGTCATACAATTTTTGATGAGCTGTTTTTACTCAAACTTATACATTTATACATTTTCTTTTAAGGGGTGAGTTCAAAACTTTTTAATTCCAATTATCTTTACATAGTGATGAATATATTATTACATAGTGATGAATATAGCATCATTTTTAAATATATTTTTGATATATATGCTTATTATTTGTATCTTCAATAAAATAAATATGGTTAATATTCTGTTCTAGAAATTCGTATTTTTTTAATTCAGACCATAAAATTAATTTGTGAACAGTTTTTTATTTTCAGCTTTGAAATAATCCATCCATGAAAGAAAACAAATCAGTTCGAATAGTGAATATTTAATCACTTTATGTGAAAAATTGATTGAGAATTTGTGATTCGTAAGGGATACGTTTTACTAGGTTCCGAGTAAAGAAATGTTGAAATAATCGTAGGGGGAGGATACTGTTCTTAATCCTAAAAAAGAAATGTACAAAGAATCCATAGCAATGGTTTAAGTAAGAGAATTGATAAGAAGTAGTGGATTCGGAATCGATAATCAACCCGCGACTGACGTCGCTCGTTGATTATCGTTTCCGAATCCACTACTTCTTATCAATTCTCTACTACATAAGTGCCAGACATATTTTACTAGCTATGGACTTATTTTCCTAGGAAAATTTATTCTGGGACATATATTACTTGCCTAGTAAAATAATGGTCACGGACTTGATTACCTAGGAAAAAATGTCTGGCGGACAAATTTTACTACCGGACCGAATTTACTGTTAAAAAATCACATGTTTGCATGAACATGTATTGTTATGTCTTATTTTTTTGTCGATAAAAAGCTCTATAGAGCCAGAGACATATAAAACAATGTATTATATATCTCTGATAGAGCTTATTTTACATATTTTTGATGCACCGACTAACATGAAACTTTTATGCTTTTCACAAGCAGTGTGTCATACTTCTCCTTCGAACCCAAGTTACACAAAACTTGGTCAGAATGATCCGTAGGGTATCTTGTTTATAAGATGTAACTTGACGGTACCCAAATTGCACGTATTTTGACAGTTTTTTCACCTACGTTTATTTATGATCAAGACAAAGTTTCCATTCTGTTTTTATTTTGTAGATGTGTCATTATTTACTATATGGTTCCACCAATTTAAATTTGAATCCATGATGAATCATAGAAAAATGGGTTTGAACCCACCTCCAAATGGTCCATGATTCTGTAATGAGGAGTACCCAAATTGCATCCATGCTTAAACATGTCAAATTCACATCCTTAAAAATCGAATAACAGATGTTTTGTTTTATTTCTTCAAATATAGAACAATTTGACACTAGTCCATGCTTACTTTTCATTTTTTAAGAAATGGATGCTTGTAACATATTTAATTTGCTCATTTTTAAAAGATGACTTTTTGTGAACGTCGCATGGCGACGTTTTCGAAGATTTACTTTTTCCAGTGAATGCTTCATCTGTTGATATATACTGTGAACGTTTTGTGTATATTTAAATATACTTACCTTTGTTGATAGACGTGTATATATATATAATGTCAAATCATAAAAATACAAATTATTTAGTCTCAAAGAAAATTTGTAAGATTTCCGCAGCGATTTTTGTTGAATAGGTGCAATTTGGGTACTGTGACGTTATCAGGGGTACCAGTGAATCTCAAACGCGTGCTTTATGGTTTATGACATATATCAACTTGATATAGAGCAAATTTTATTCTGGTGATCGTTCAGATTTTTTATGTTCTAGTTGTTTTTATTTATTTTTTTGGGGGGGGGGGGTAAATAAAATTAGATAAATTTTGAAACTCACAGTGTAAATTATGGCTCTTCGCTCGCCCTGTCATTTATTCACGGGTATGAGATCGAAATGATGTCGTGTGTTCTATGTATTTCCTAAAAGTTTTCATAGCCAATCATATTGCAGCTTACATACCATCTGATGACGAGCAGCATGTCGACCGGTTAGCCAAGCACCATAGGAAAAACTGAATATGCATGGGAACTCGCGATGTCTACCACAAATAAATAATTAACATGATACCGTAGAAGTTTTCTTGTTATTTACGTGTTGTAGTTATTTATTTGAATCATGGCAGCAATGCCACCGGAGGTAAGAACGTCAATGCAACGCGACATTTTGTTTTGTTACTTACCCACGCTAGATGTGAAGCGAGATACGAATCGAAGGATTCTGCATTTAAAAATGGGAGTTTGGAAGGGTTTGACTAAAGATGAAACTTAGATATGCTTATGCGGTGGCAGAAATTCCTGCTGTATTTCAGAAGAAGATGGGAAAGAGCTAATTACAAGCAGATTATCTTTGTATTTCAACTAGTCATATTTTTAAATCAATGGCCAATGCTTAATATTTGCATATTTTAAATGTAAACGGCATCATTCAGTTAATGACAACCTTTCAGTTTGTTTGGAAAAAGCAGAAAATGCACCATTCCACATGTCTATTTTGTAATAAGTCAAAATTGTGGTCGAAGGGAAATAATTTGTATTTTTAAGCAGTCTGTTAAAGCACTTTTGAAGCCCCCTTCCACAAATCATATAATTTTCATATGACATCCCCACCCTACAAAAAAAACACCAGGATACCTTAAAGTTTATGTTTTTCAATTGCTGCTTTGTGAATTAACAGATTAACATAAGAAAATAAGTGTTGAAAAAATAAAATGTGTGGATAAAGTTTTGATAAGCCTAGGATACTATGGTTTACCTCTGTTTGTCTGTCTGTCCATTCATATATCCTACAAAAAGTAGAGAATGCTTTGATCAAGCATCTTGGAAGTTGTATGATTTATTAGAATTGGTCAAAGAAACCTCCTTGGTTGTGTTGTAACTTGTTCCAGAGTTACCCTAACCATCATATTTTAGGCAATTTTCACATATGAGGGTCTGGATGGTGGTTTACAGCACAGATACGAGACGAGATTTGAAAAAAATATATGAATTACATGCATATTGTATTTACTATTTAGAAAGTACATGTATGTCAGTCAGGGGTACTACTTGTACAAGTAATCTTTATTTACTTGAAGAAGTGAATAATAATATACTTGTATAAGTAAATTATAATGTTTGAATAATTTCCCCTTAATTTTCTAAAAAATTTACTTGTATAAGTAATTTTTTTTTACAATCCTGAAAATTCTCAAGTTTTGAGATGTAAAAACATGCCTTTTTTTCTCAGGTTAGCTCATAATTTTTATTAGAGTTCAATGTTTCATCTCATTAATTCAACAAAGAAACTAATTGTGCAAAGATCTAAAGTATTTGCGCAAGGCCTTCAAAAATTGCCTCTTGGGGGCTTGTAAATGAGCAGTGTTCTGAAGATAACAGACAAATGAGATTTTCATTGTTCATGAAATTACACTTAAATGAGTAGTAAAGACATCTGCAATGGACAGACAATTAAAAATTCTATTAGAGCAAAGAAGTCCTAAGAAATTCAAGAAAAGAAGATGGGATGAATTTTTTACTTGTATAAGTAAAAAAATCTGAATGTCTAAGGGACATAACTGAGCCAAAAAATAATTTACCTATACAAGTAAATAAAATACGCCTGTATAAGTATCCTACAAATTTACTTATATAAGTATATTAATATTTACTTCTTCAGGTAAATAAAAATTACTTGTACAAGTAGTACCCCTGACTGTATGTATCATCTCTTATCTGTAGTTCACAGAATAGAGAATAATGGGCCAAAATCTACAGAAAAGTGGAAAAAAAATAAAGAATAGAGAAAAATTACCTAAACAATTTAAGAGTACAGAAATGAAATATAATAATGATCAGCAAAAATGCCAGCATGAAAGAAATCCTCTAAAGAAAATGTTTTACTAACTTCTGAGTTGGGTAGAAATTGAAAACTATATATAATATGAGTTATTGTCCTTGAATGGTAATTTTTTACTATCACTTTTTGTCAAGCGAGTGATTTAGGCTCTTAGGAGCCTCCTTTTAGCGATAATGTTTAACTAAACTCTTATTCAGCTGATATTGAAAGTAATATTGTCAAATTACCTTAATTCCTGTTTATTTGTGCATTATTGTGCTTTCTACATTTGCAAGCCTTAAAAATTCAAGTTTTTTTCTGCTATTCATAATACATTGTACGTAAATTTGTATGTACAAGATGATCATGGAACCCATTTAATCTTTTTAATTGTTATACAAAAATACAGCAGTTAAATGATTAAATAAAATATTTTATTGAAAACTTTTCAGCAAGTGGGATATGTTCCTGACAAATTGAAGAAAGCAGAAAAGAGAATTCGTACACAATCTTACGATACAGAAGCATGGAGTGTGTTAATAAGAGACTCTCAGGTACCTACAATTATAATTAATATTTGGAAGCTGGAATTAACCATGTTTATTTCAGTAGAACTAATTTGGTCAATTCAATGAATTGGTCTCTGGTGGAGAGTTGTCTCATTGGCAATCATACCACATCCTCTTATTTTTATAATAAATATTTTCATGATTATCTTAATAAAATCTACCATTTAAAAGATATACATGCACTGACTACTTGAAACTTTTGTTGTAATACTTGCATACTACATAGTCAGCGTTTCCTTTCAATATCTAGACAACATTACCTCCAATCAGAAAATTAAGACTATACATTTGTATGTTTGTTTTTTTTTTACTTGTGAAAACTGTCCACATTTCTTTCAATTCTTTGTGTTTTAGATGAAACCAATAGAGAATGCAAGACCAGTTTATGAACAGCTTGTAGAACAGTTTCCGACTTCTGGAAAATATTGGAGGATTTACATAGAACAAGAGGTTATTTAAATTTTGTTTATATTTTTGAAGTCACATGACCTTAAGGTGCTGAAATTTATCCATATTTTTATTTTATTTTAAATCATATTACCTTTTTGAACATGATGTTTTATAATACATGTACTGGTACTGAAATTTATATGAGGTGCTTTTGACTTTTTGCAATCATTATGGTCATGTGATATCATTGTTACTGAGGGTACAAGGTCTGTTAAGTAACTTTACATTGTTACTGTTGAATATAAATCATTTACAAAGTCTTTATAGTTCTTGTTTTATATGTTGTTGACTTATTTACTTGTGAATGTGATTGAATGAGAGAGGTGATCAACCATCTGCTGAAATTTTCTACAGATCTATATAATATGAGATATAATGGACTTAGAACCCTATAGGTTGCACTTCTGTAAATATAAACAGTGCAATTTCCCTTAGAAACTCCTTTTATGGCTAAAACTGTGCCACTTTTACTATGAAGTTTCATAAAAAATTATATTCTAGAATGGAAAGTTCATTTGCACTACTATTTTTTTCAGAGTTCAAAATATAGGGAGGTGCTGCATATTTTCGACATTTATATGCCTCAAACTTCTAAGAGTTTAAACTTATACTAAAATTCTGTATTGCCCCTCCCTTCACTTTGGGTCTTCCTCAGAATTCAGTTTAGCCACTATCCATATGTATTTATACTTGTAACATTCCCAAGTCATGTCTCTACGAGATGAAACAAAGAGATCATATCCAGGAACCAGTGGGTAAACAAAACAAAATATCTATGAATATTATATATCTCCCCAAAAGAGGCGTGGTTTGTGAAACAGCTGTATTTACAAAGTGCAACCTATATAGTTGTTTTCATGGACTTTTATAATAGGCAATATGCCTCCCCTACAATACATTTATAGTTCTATTTCTTAAGACAATATCTTGTAGAAATAACACATGCTGGTGACTATTTTATAAGGTCTTTAAAAAAAGCCTTTGGACCAATTGGAACCAAACTTTTGACACACCAATCCCAAGAGTGTTTAGTTCTAAAATTGTGTTCAGTCATCTACCAAACAGTCAGGATTCTACTTCGTCAAAATTATCTCCCCATTATGCCACCTAACTTTAAAAAACGGAAGCCATTGAAGTGATGACGAGCTGTCAATTTAGCTCTTCAGTAAAAACCGATAAATATCCACATAGTATCATAACGATCCTTTTATGCCTGTTGTATTTTAAAAGACAAATGTATCTACTAGATATTAGGCATCATTAAATGTACTTTTATGCATTTGGTCAACTTAACACTAAAGTCTGATCGGTTGTCAGGGGGAATTTTCGAAAGTGCAAAAATATTTTAAAAAATACTAATTAAATATTTCTTGGAAGGGCAGGCTTAAAATATTCAAAGGTTAAAGACTAATTACCCTAGATAACACACACAAAAAAATGGAGTCTTTTTGAAGTTATGCATTTTTTAAGATCCACTTGAAAAGTCTGTAGTCAAGTACTTTTAGTAAAAAATTGTTATTCGAACACACCTACTCTGTTGTTATGACTCATTAGAAAGGTATTTCACTTGACCGATATATTTCATTTTTTAGTACTGTAAATTTTTTATGTTATTATATCAACCTAGAGCGTAAATATATTAAAAATGGTAGAATCTGAAGCAAGAAGATGTATCAAATATTTTTCTTTCATACGTTTTCAGGACAGAATTGTCAACTCAAACACGCCTGAACATGAAAAGGTGTACTCGACTTTCTCTTTTCCATGAAATTATTGCCTGTTTTGGGGATTTTTTCCCAAAAAACTGTTGCCTGGGGCAGAGATGCAAATTAATGCTCTAAAAAGATCAATCTATTATCTTTCTTTGGATTTTTTTCGGCGGAATTTATGCTTGTGCACAAAAAAGATCCATATGTATTTGCACCTACCAAATTCAACTGTTCTGTGAAAATTTGTCTATAATTTAAAAGTTTACAAATATCTCGAAGCTCCATACCATAATTTAAGTAAAAACACTTGCATAAGACGCATAAAATCCTAAATTAGGCACATCCATTAAACTTTTAAAGCACATAGAAACAGATGTAAACAATATAAATTTACCAACTTGGCCTTTTTACCTTCTCTAACAAAGAGTTCCATTTCTTTTGTTTAATTTCAACTGGGTTTCTGCCTGAAAGCTGAAAGGTATTACTTTTCTAGAAGCAGCAACTGCAAATACCTGAATCTCTTATCATTACTTTCAACCAGGATAACAAAATATTGTACAACATATTTTTTCTACTTTGATAGGTAAAATTTTCAGAATTATGTTTGGTCAATAATTTGTTTTTAGAGCCTAGAGGAACATAAGTCATATCAGTTGAGCAAAACGGTGTCTTTGGAGCCTCTTGGTTTTCGTTTCAGAATTTTTGAGCTCAAATAGTTGTAAGTCACACATCAATAGTTGTTACAAGATTGTTTTGTACATGTTTTTTTTTAAGGGAAATGCAAGTGCGACAGCTATTTCAAAGGAGCTCCCAAAAGGAACTAATTGTATTTTTGATCTTAAATAGTTACAACTGCATGTAAAGTACATGATCTTTTTGTTGCATGTTTGCATTACAGATGTATTATAAGTAATACATCCTCCTTGGAGCCTGGGTTCACAGGTATTAGAAAGAATGGGATGAGAGGATGTGTTTAATTGAAATCTTTATTTCAGCGTTGAACATAATATTTTTTTTTAAATATGATGTTAACACATACATTTTTTTTCACATGTATACATTTCAAATTGCATGATAACAAATAATCAATGTAGATATTTATTTACAATTTTATTAATTTATTCATAGACTTGAAAAAGAAGGTAATGTTTCTTGCATAAATAAACATTGCCAATGACATATTCAAATGGTTGTTTTTAATTGTGTTTTAACTTCCAGCTAAATGGGAAAATTTCACACAAGGCTGAATATATTTATAGGTACACAATGCACCCACTATTTGGAACACATGGATTGAACATGTATATTGTTAACTCAATATGAAAATTACTTTTTAGCTACAAGTCATAGTTTATGTTACATTTGTTCTTGTATGAAGCAAAATGTGTGAAATTTTCCACTACAAATGTAAATCCACAAATTGATAGCATCAAGCATTAGTAATTTTAAGGAAGCTTTAATTGGATTCCAAGTATAGCCAATATAATCTGAAGTTTTTATGGGTTTCAGCTCGCAAAGACAGAATTATCTTGATTGAAGTACAAATGTAGCTTGAGGCATATTTATTACACACACAAAAAAAAAGAGAAATATGATTTATGTAAAACATTGGAAAATGTCAATTTGAGGTTTCCATTCATAAAATTCAGATTAAATTCTGAAGTGTATCCTACATGATTAAGCCATTACACTACAAAAAGACCATTGACAGGACACGTATACAGCAAAAAAACCAACCAAAAGACATCATTAGGTCAAAATACTGTGTGAATTGAAACACACATGACTATGAAAATGGTCTAGCTATACTGTAGGTTGAAATTCTGCTTTATACTATAGCTGTCACTATTACTCAATCTGATAAAAATTATATCTTTCACTTTACTCCATTTTCAATCATTCATAGTGATTAGCTAATGATTGCAACAAATTTTATTTCAGTTAACTTGTTTTTGTCAAATATTTGTATATACCTTGTATGCAGATGCCTTATGTTAAGAAGTTTCTGCCGCTCATATGTTCATTGTCCATGACCTCATTTTCATGGTTCAGCAATTGCTTGAAAAAAGAACTTTTTGTCATGTGGAATACTCACTTGTATGTAATAAGGTAACTATATTTGGTACATGGGTTCCTTGCAAGGAGCTTCATGTCCATCAGACAGTGATCAGATGCAGATCCAGGATTTTGTAAAGGGGGGCCAGGGCCCCCAAACTAGACCTCTGGTGTTCTGATTTCACTTGACTTGACCTCATTTCATGGATCCCTTATCAAGGTGAAGTTTTCGTGATGAAGTCCATAGTTCAGATACTGAAAGCAATAGGTCAACTATATTTGGTATAGGGATTGATTGTAAAGTGTACATGTTCGTCTGGCAAGTTTCATCTGACCTTGACCTAATTTTCATGGTTTATTGGTCAATGTTAAGTTTTTACTAGTTTTGTCCTTTATCAGATTTTATAAGCAATTCGTCAACTATATTTGGTATATGGAATGATTGCTTGGTGTGCATGTTGTCTGGTATGATTCATCTGACCTTGATCTCATTTTTATGGTTCATTGGTCAATGTTCAATTTTTATACGCCCGTTTACGGGACGTATTATGGTATACCCTTGTCCGTCTGTCCGTCCGTCGTCAACATGTCGGACATTAATTCAAAAACGCTTTAACCAATATGCATGAAACTTTGGTGAATTGTTCATATCTATTGACATGAGCTCCCTTTCATTTTCTATAAATTTTGGATTTACCGTTTCCGAGTTTTGGGGTTTTATTCATTAAAAAAGGGGGGGATTTTCCAGTTTTCAGACAATAACTCAAAAACAATTTCACCAATTTGCATGAAACTTTTGTGAATTGTTTATTTCTATCGACATGAACTCCCTTTTGATTTTTATAAATTTCAGAATATACGTTTCGGATTTATGGGGTTTTATTCATTACAAAAAGGGGGATTTTCCAGTTTTCGGACATTAACTCAAAAATGCTTTCAACATTTTTTATGAAACTTTGGTAAATTGTTTATATCTATTTTTGTAAGCTCCCTTTTGATTTTTATAAATTTTCGATTTTATGTTTCCGAGTTATAAGATTTTATTTGTTTATAGTCTGACAACAGATTTACTAAGTATTGCGTAACAGCACAGTGTATTGCACAACAGCAAAATCTTTGATATAACCAATTTCAAGTTCTTTGACTACATTTATTCAGAAGCCTGTAATATATCAAATATTTAGTTACAATCCAAATTCAGACCTGTATCAAGCTTGAATATTGTGTCCATTTTTG